AATTAACTAGTAGTTTTGGTCTAAGAAAGACCAAAGTGTGATTAAAAGCCGAAAGGATCGACTTTTGAGAACCAAGTCGGACTTTAACTCAACTAAGGAAGAAGAGCAAGGTCGGACTATATTACCTTAGAATCATTCACTTAAGTGAGAAGGAGAGTCATTGATGCTTGAGAAGCGCTCAATCAAGCAACAAGAGGTGCTTAAAAATGAGGGGGAGAGTGCCTTTTATAGGAAAAAGGGCTGCTGGACCAAAAACGCGGTGGTACCAAGCATCTAAAAATCATTCCGATGATTTCAAAATCGGTACCGATTAAGGTGCTTGGCAAGCAACAGATTGGTATGGATCTAGGGCTGATCGATGTCGGCCAAGGGCAGGTTGGCACCAATCAAGGCAAATTACTGTCCAAATCCTGGACCTTATTTTTGGAGCCTTTCGAGCTTTCAGGAGTTCGTTTAAGGCCTAAATGATGTCTGATCGAACTGATTCTCACGCCGTTGGAACCATAGCAGAATTTTCTAGAGTCCGATGCTGAAATCATGGTCAACAGTACTAGCTATATTATAGTATGCAAAACCAAATATTTTCTTGCTTCTAAATTTGATATGAAAGACATGGGTGAAGAAAATGTGATTTTTGGTGTTAAAATCATAAGGAAAGGTGATAATATAACTCTATCACGAGAACACTATGTTGAGAAACTTCTTAAGAAGTTTGGACATTTTTATGCCACACCTGTGAGCACTCCTTATGATGCTAATACGCAATTAAAGAAAAATAGAGGTGATCCTATTACTAAATCTAAATATGCACAGACTATTAGAAGCCTAATGCATTTAATGAATTTTTCTAGACCAGATATTGCTTATGTAGTGGGCATATTGAGTCGGTATACATATAATCCCAACCACGATCGTTGGTCTGCATTAAGTAGACTAATGAAATATTTGAGAGGTGCCATGAACTATGGTATTATGTATAGTGGATTTCCCGCTAGAAGGATATAATGGTGCTAACTGGATTTCAGATTCAGATGAGACAAAATCTACTAGCGGTTACATTTCACTCTTGGTGGTGGTGCAGTCACACGGAAGTCAGTCAAGCAAACAATTTTTGCTAATTAACTATGGAGCCACAATTTATAGCTCTAGAACTAGCTGACAATGAGGCTGAGTGGCTAAGGAATTTCTTAGCCAATAATCCTACATGAATAAAACCAACATCTTCTGTATCTATGCATTGTGATTTGCCTAAATAAAAATTTTAATGGTAAAAATAAACATATTCGGTTGAGACATATTATGGTTAAGCAATTGCTAAAAGACGGAGTCATATCGATCGATTATATAAAGTCAGAAGTGAACTTGGCCGATCTTCTGACTAAACCATTAACGAGAAAATTAATATACAAAACATCAAGGGGAATGGGACTTAAGCCAGTTTAGAAATTAACGAGAAAATTAATATACAAAACATCAAGGGGAATGGGACTTAAGCCAGTTTAGAAATTAAGCGTGAAGGTAACCCAATCTTTATGATTGGAGATCCCATGAATAAGGTTCATATGGGTAATAACAAGTTACTCATTAATTCTACTAGTACTATTTATTTTGTCCTTTCCTATGATGTGAGTTGTGCTAAGCTGTATTAAATGTGAGGTTGAGCTAAAAACTCTTAATGATTCATATATTCCTTATGGATGGTGTATAAAGATGCAGTATACACTTGATGGAATCACCTATATAATTGTGGAGTGAGGCCGCTCTGGCATAATCTCTAGAGCACTTATGAATAACCAGGCATGCGCATGGCCTATTAGCACAAAACAACATTAACAGCGAGAATAATAAGGGTATAGTGATATTGGTAGGACCTCTAACATACAACAAAGAGTTTTAGTTCATAAAAAGCTTCCTTCACCTACGCTCTGTATATTATGACATATTAGTCTAGGTTTGGTTCATAGTCTTAAAAGGCACCAAATTCGAAAGCATTTATATCCATGTATATAACCCAGTTAAAATTAATTTTCTATAAAATCTTTTTAAATATATGGAGATTGTTGTAAGTGAATTGTATTAAAAATCTCACATTGCTTATGCATGAGCTTTTAAAGTTGATTATGAATAGGTATTTGATATTGAGCTATTAAAATGTGTGGTAAGGGGTTGGACTCATGCGCAAAAGGATTGGGCCAAAAGTCCAATCCCATTGCTAACCAGTGGATTTGCGCGATTCAAATAAAAAAAATATATGTATCATAATTTACCAAATTGTTTTTCAAATTAACGTCTTGTCTTTATTTCTAACTTTTGACTAGATATTTTTTCTAATATCACGTTCGCTTGATTTGTGCAATGTTCACTTGATTTGTGAATATTTATCAAGTTTTATGGAACTGCTTTTGCTTTTCGTTATCATGACTTTATACTGATGTCTTTTGCTGGGTAAGATAATGGAGAGATCATCAGTTCTGTCTTACTTGAAAAACATTAATTCAGAAGAACTTGTTAGATCCTGGGAGGGTTTTTGCTCTTAATATTTTTCTCTCTTTATCTGTGATTGCGAAATAATCCTTTTAGGACAGTACTTTTTCGCACGTCTTAGATTCCAATTTATTTGCATTTACGCAATAGGCCTTTTGCTTCGAAAGCCTAATTCAGTAGGACCGGTGACTTTATTTGCCCCAACTCGATGAATTGAAGAATTTTACTTGAATATCATTTTTAACGTGAAGATACGTGACGGAAGAAAACTCTAATTAGAGTTAATTATTAAGCTTAAAAGAGGCTAAAACGAATTAGGACCACCTAGTGAAAGTTTTAGCCTAATGACAGCTAGCCGTTGATGAAATGCTTAAGGTTAAAATTAGTGTTGTCTCTTCTTGTTTTCATTTTGTGTGCAATGTGCTGCACAATTGTCGCAAAGAGACAATACAACACAATGCTCCTACTGATTCTCTCCCTTTGCTTTGGGAATTGTACTTGGCAACTTCTCATATTTTGCTACGTCAGTATTTTTTTTTTTTTATCTTACTTCTTATCTAAGATTTAATCTGTATTTATGAAATTACAAAATTTATGGAATTTAAATTTTATAAATTTTAAAAATTCATAAAATTTTACGTAAAGCGTATGTTTAAGATAAAGTAAAATTGTTTAAAATCCATGATAATTAAAAAACGATGGAACCGAAAAATTCTACCTCTTAAATAGGTATTGAGGCAATTCTTTTATTTATTTAAACTGGTGACAAGGTGAGTTTCTTTCTATGTTTGGATTTTTATTTCTTTAATATGGTGAAATTAATATTATAATTATTTATTAATTTTATAAGTTAAGTTCTATTTCATTATTTTAAGCTAACTGTATAATAATTAAGGAAATTATTAAATAATTCCAATTTTAATAAATAAAATTGTAATCGACTAATAGTAAAAAGATATGAGTAAAATAAGAAAAGAATAATTAATATTTTCTTAATATTCTAAATAACAAATGATGTGGGGGTAAAAGCCAAGGTAAAATTGGAGTGAACGTAATTTTTTAAAGATGGAGTGACTGCAACTTACACAGATATTGACAGTTTAGTTCAGCCCGTGAACTTCTTGTAACAATCAAACATTGACCCCACCTGCATTATTGAATAACCGAAAGTTTATCAATACCAATTGAAAATATTTATATTTACATTTTTATTTTGTTACTAGTTTTTCATTTTTTAAAAAAAAAATGCATGCTTTTATTTACTTTTAATTTATTTTTACTCGCATAATTCTTCGAGCAAAAATTAGAATGAGATTCAAGTAAAATCCTTTTAGCAGTGATATTAGCAGACAGAGATAGCGTCCAACTCTTACACTCTGTTTAGATGGGGTGAGAGAATGATAATTAACGGAAGAGGCAGGGAGGGTAAGCAAGTAAAATCCTTTTAGCAGTGATATTAGCAGACAGAGATAGCGTCCAACTCTTACACTCTGTTTAGATGGGGTGAGAGAATGATAATTAACGGAAGAGGCAGGGAGGGTAAGGAAGACGAATGGTAAAAGGAGTTATTATAAAATTAGAATAAGATTCAAGTAAAATCCTTTTAGCAGTGATATTAGCAGACAGAGATAGCGTCCAACTCTTACACTCTGTTTAGATGGGGTGAGAGAATGATAATTAACGGAAGAGGCAGGGAGGGTAAGGAAGACGAATGGTAAAAGGAGTTATTATAAAATTAGAATAAGATTCAAGTAAAATCCTTTTAGCAGTGATATTAGTGGAGAGAGGATAGTGTCCAACCCTTACACTCTGTTTGGATGGAGTGAGGGAAGGATAATTAACGGAAAAATAAGGTAGGGTAAAAAAGGCAAAAGGTAAAAGGAGTTATTATAAAATTATGTTGATGTTTGGAAATTGTCGAATTAATGGAAAGGCAAAGAGAGAGATAAATAATTATATATAGTATAAAAATATTAAGTTACTTATCTTTTTTCCCTTGCACTTCAATTTGAGGTGTAACAAAATTTGAGATTTGAAGGGTAGAGGAGGGTAAAGCTTACCCTTATTTACCCTCATTCTTCGACAACTCACTTCTTCTCAAATGAAAATATACATCTTAGTTACCTCTCATTTTCTTTATGTACCTTTCCTTCACCTCTAACTAAACAAAGTGTTAGGATATTCTTAGGATTGATTAGGGAACAGCCACTGCTTGGACGCTCCTAAAAATTAAATCTAGGATCACCGAAAATTTATCCAGCCTAGTTTCCATCAGGCTAACACTTTGGGGGTTATACACATGATGTCTATAACTCTATCGAAAAACCAATCATTAAAAATTTATATATTTCTAAATATACATGAAAAATAAAATTATATATACAAAATAATTTTTTAAAATTTATATTTTTATTAGTTTAATCCATCCACTTTAAAAAGTATAATCGCTTCATAGTACTCTTTTCCAGACGTTACTGCATTTTTAGACGTTACTGTAAGTTTTTTCTTCTGCTCTTTTTTTTTTTTTATTTTTTATTTATTTTGGACAGATGCAGATTTCGTTGAAGAAGCCTCTGTAAACCCTTGAAACTATTCATCCAATGACCAGAGCATTAAACGAAGCTTTAATGGGAAAACCATTTCACCATCCCTACCATCTTCTTTTGTTGCTAATATTTTTTTCACTTGTTCACCATTCAAACCAGCTTCAATCCTCTCAATATCAGTCCCTTGTGGTGCTTATCCAACAGCTTCTCAACTACCCATTTCCCCTTACCAGCTTTAGCACCGTAACAGACTTATGCAATATTGAACCAACTCCATCTCTAACTCTGGTGTGCTATGAAGATAACATAACTCAGATTCACATCATAGGGAAAAATGGGTTTCCTCCTTTGCCTCAAAATTTCTCCACTGAATCTTTCTTTTCCATTCTTTCTACTCTATCCAGCTTGAAAGTCCTGTCTCTTGTTTCTCTTGGGCTAGAGGGACCGTTGCCTACAACTGTAACTTACTTATCTTCATTAGAAATATTTAATTTAAGTTCAAACCATTTTAGTGGTACTATTCCTGTCCAAGTTTCATCTTTGAAGTGTCTTCAAACTCTTATATTAGACCATAACAAGTTTAGTGGTGAAGTTCCTGTTTGGCTAAGTTCACTTCCTCTTCTAGCTGTTTTAAGTTTGAGCAACAATTCCTTTAATGGCTCTCTGCCTAATTCTCTGAGTAAAATGGAAAATCTTCGAATTTTATCGGTATCAAGAAATAATTTGTCTGGAGAAGTGCCTGACCTGCAAAACTTGACAAACCTTCAAGTTGTTGATTTACAAGACAATTATTTTGGACCCCATTTTCCAATCTTACATACCAGGATAGTGTCTGTTCTGTTAAAAAATAATAGCTTTCAATTAGGGATACCCAATGAACTATTAGCCTCTTGCTATCAACTTCAAAGACTTGACATTTCCTTGAATGGATTTGTAGGGCCATTTTCTCCATCATTATTCTCTCTGCCTTCTATAAGTTACATAAATATTTCAAATAACAAATTCACAGGAATGCTTTCTGAAAACATGTCCTGTAATTCTGATATTGCCTATGTAGATATATCCTCAAATCTTTTGAATGGAGATTTGCCGAGTTGCCTTGAACCCAACAGCAAGAGCAAAGTCATTCACTACTATAGCAATTGCTTGTCTAGCCATCACCAATATCAGCATCCTTCTAGCTTTTGCCACAAAGAAGCACTAGCAGTGGAGCCTCTTGATGAGGATCAAGAGAAGCATAACAGACCTAAAGGTAAAGCAGTTATTGCATCTACCACTATTGGGGGAGCTATTGGAGCTATCGCAATTGTGGGTATGGTTTTGTTGCTTATGAAGAGAGTATACATATGTAGCAAGAAGCATAGAGTGAAAGAACCTCAAGCAAGGGTAACAATGGAGAATGTATCATCATCAGTAAACACAGTGAAGTTGCTTTCTGATGCAAGTAAGTTCTATATTCTTGTTTTACTTTAAGATGTGCAATTATCTCTAATAAGACCTTTTTTTGACAATAAATTTGTGGAATTTATGTAGAGTTCCATGTTTTCTTTAATGTTTGGCAGAAAGAAAACTTTTCATTTGTTTTGCGGAATTATTTGAAATACAATCTTCGATGAAAATTAATTTTGTAGTGTTTTATGTTCCAAAACACGAAAATATGGGAATTCAATTTTATGGAATTTAATATAACTACCCTCCATTATTCAGGGCATATATCAGAAACAATGAAGTTAGGGGCCAATCTTCCTGCTTATCGTACCTTCGCTTTGGAGGAGCTTAAGGAGGCTACAAATAACTTTGATGAATCAAATTTGCTGTCTGGAGCTTCACATAATAAGGTATCTATTCGGAGTGATTCACAAATACTTAAGTAAGTTTTTGTTTTGTTCATCTTGGAATTAGAATATTATTCCAAGTTTATTTTGAAATAACCACATAGAATTCATAGATTGGAGCAAGTATTATTATGAATTTGTTGCTATACATTTTGTATTGGTTCTTTTTTATCAATTCTTCCTAATTTTTCTAACTATCATGTCAGATTTATAGGGGAAGGCTTGGGGATGGAACTGTGGTTACTATAAGTAGGTTTTCAGTCAAGAAAAAAAAGTGCCAGCAGCAAAGCATTAGACACCAGATTGAGTTGATTTCAAAACTCAGGCATAGTCATTTGGTCAGTTCTCTGGGGCACTGTTTGGATTGGTGCATGGATGATTCAACCATCTCCCAAATTTTTCTTATTTTCGAGTTTGTTTCCGATCAAACACTAAGAGACCACACATCTTCTGCAGGTAGATTAATTCAATGGAGTCTTCTTTCTTTTGTGTTCAAATACCACCATGTTCATGTTCAATTTGTTTGGCAGGACCTGGAGGGAAAAAGTTGAGTTGGAAACAAAGGATAGGAGCTGCTATTGGAATTACAAAGGGTATTCAATTCCTGCACACAGGACTTGTCCCTGCGATATATTCTAATAATCTCAATATAACAGAAGTTCTCTTGGATCATGATCTTCATGTTAAACTCAGTTGTCATAACCTGCCACTGTTAGCTGAAACTAGACGATCGGTATGTGTAGCCCACAACAATCTGAATTTTCTTTTACCAATAGTTGACATTACTGCAGATTTAGTTTCAAATAGAGCAGAATAGAAATAAATGATGCATATTACCAATCACAACTAGTCGGGGATTAAGGTTTAGTTGTTGTTATAATAATAAAATAATAGAAATAACTCACCTTTCAGCTTGTGCTTTCTTTATAAACCTTTCAGGTGGGTACGTCAGTTTTTTCTCCAGGACCAAAGCAGAACATTTTGACAAGGTGTGAGCAGAATTCCTGTTAATAATATTTGGCACAATAATGTAGTTGAAAAAAAAAAGCCCAAGTTACATTATGGCTCACCGAGCATGGGCTAAGTTTCTCTGTATTCTAAATTTTGTCTGTGCAGGGAAAAAGACAATAATGGTGATAAGAAAGATGTGTATGACTTGGGAGTAATCTTAGTTGAGATAATTGTTGGAAGGCCGATCACATCCCCTGATGAAGTAGCTGTGGTTAAAAATCTAGTAAGTGTTCTTTGTCTTTTTATTTTTTCAAAGAGAAATATTTCTCTCAACAACAGATTTGACAGCAAAACTAAAGGATATATATATATATATATATATATAAACAAAATGCAGTTACAAGTGAGCATGACAGTTGATGAAACAGCTAGAAGAAGCATTGTCAATCCGACGGTTGGGAAGGGATGCACAGACGAATCATTGAAGATAATGATGGAGATATGCATCAGATGTCTTGCAGAGAGGCCATCTGATAGGCCATCAGTTGAAGATGTTCTTTGGAACTTGCATTTTGCTGCTCAAGTAGTTGAGGATGACTCCTCCCATAACATGAACCAATCCTCCCAAGTTAAGCAATTTGTTTCTTCTTTTCATGTGTAAACACAAGGCTCAAGATACTGATATTTTTACAATCTTTTCTACTGCTACTTCTAACTATATCTTTCCTACAAATTTGTACAAAATAACTTTCTTGGTTCTTGATTCTCTAATGCTCATATCCAAACTAGATAAAGCTGAAAAATATCTGAATTAATTTTGATTTTACTATATTCCAAAACCAAACCGAACCAAAATATAAGACAAGGCTAGGGCCAGTTCGACAAGTCAGCTCGAAGTGGCGGGTCCCAGAACCTGCACCAAATCAAATAGGTTCCAAACTGATTCTGGTTTTAATTTTTGGAACCGGCTAAAACCATTTTGGCAAAAAAAATGCTAAAAAGCTTTAAACAGGCAAACCCGTGATGAAACCATCCTACAACTTGAATTGAATTGGTTTGATTTAGTTAAGATTTGTATGAGCCTAAGTGGTAATATAGCAAAGCTAGAAATAGGGCCAACTAAAGCTCCAAGCCTGCAATGTAACAGCCCTGAACCTAACTCCATGTAGTTATGCAGTCAGTCACTGCAGTACCAGTTAAGCAGAATAAAAAGAACCTCTGTAAAGAATTTAGAGGGAAGATAAAGAAACTAGAAACTTCATATCCAAACTTTTCATGCCGAAATTCGTGTAACAATTTTATCAAAAATAAATAAATAAATAAAATAAGTTGTGCAACCATTTCTTTTGAAACCCCTAAACTGCTAATTTACACTCAACAAAGCTAAATTACAAACTTATGTATTATAATCACTATCCTTTGGATAGTAAACAACAAAAATCCGGCAACCCAGAGGGATACACTGTGAAGCCTAAAGAATATGATATTTTTACAAAAAGAAAAATTGAAAAGAAAATGCACCAAATAACAAAATTACCATTATCACCTCTGTGAAGGGTCCACGATTGGGTTCATTTCTATTTCTACAACTCCATTATCCCGTCTGTTACCAAACTTCTCAGCTTCTCTCATAATCTGAATATCACAAGGACTAAAGTATTCATAAAGTACTTTCACAATTAACCGAGGAAGGAGTGATGCCACAATTATAGCTAGCAAGCAACACCAGAACAATCCTGTCTTTGCAATTTCGAAGAAAGCCCTGTCGATACATTGCAGTTGGAAACATAAATGATTAGATATAACATTAAATATCAAAGAACTTATCAAGTTAAATGCACCGACAAATGGGAATTTCAAAAATGAAATTATGCAACTTATTGGCCACAAGGGTTATCTGATTGGCATGCATTCTTGGCAACATGATGACTAGAGCATGATTTCTGATTCTCTTTGATCAGAAGTCTGAAGTAACAGTCAGTCCTACAAGTACTAGCTATTCAAGATCCAACTGCTGTCAGAATAGCTTTGAGGGTGATGAACAAGACATATGGCATAAAGGTACTTGATCCCATTTACTAATGAATATAGTTGACCATGACTTAAAAGTTGGAGACTCGGAATTGACTTTGATGAGACCACTCGTATCTTATGAATGGTATCACTCTATTTGAAGCAATATTAATTGAGCATAGGTCATTGGTATATTTGTCCCATGAGCAATGAAGTATTGCGGAGGCCTTTCTATTCTGTGACTAAACCTTGTCTTTGCATTCACAATTTTTAAGAATATAAATATAATGATGCTTCATTATGCAATATACATGTGGGAAAAATGACAAAAGTCAGATAACATCTGATATTCTGACAGAGAACAGGCTTACCAGTATCCAACTAAAGTAGGCACAGCATCAATGACGAGGACACAAATGAAAGTTGCAACTATAGATCCCCAAATGACAGCATGAGTAATCCAAGTCCACCGAATTATGTCCATAGCCAAGTGCAAATTAACCAAAATAACAACTGCAAGCGTCCAAAGATCTCCTATACTCGGTGCATCAATAGTACTGGCCCAGTATGCTAAGAAAGGGACAAAAAAGATAACCACACTTTGCCACGAGGTGTCGATCATTGTTAGCCAGAACAATTTAGAGTTGTAGCTTTCTTGTCTGTGCCCGCCTCCGTAAAGCTGAGGATACTTTAAAAGAGTCCTTCTACTCAGGTCCTTGTCAAGAATACCAACTATGATGGTAGGCAGGGAAGTATAAATTATAGAATATAACACGCTGCTCCACTCATTAATTGCAGTTGTCAAAGTGAAACCAGTAAAAAGCGTGTACCTGGAGAAAAATGCACGGTAATGAGTAGGTCATAATATAAGATAAGCAGTCATGAGCTTTCAACAATATTGAATAGCCATTCCATTTTCTGTAGTATAACTGCAAAATAACTGATCCTAATTGGCTGAACTGCTATAAATCCCCAGATATTTAAGTTGGCCCTCAGAAGGGCCAAGGGACAAAAACTCACCTATCTTCTCTGTCAACTTATTGTCCAAAATGTTTTATTCTGCAACCTGAATTTGAATGGTTTATTTTCTGACATATAAATGTTCATTATGTTCCTTTGGAAGAAGGAAAGGTGGAAGAGGTTCAGTCAGAAATTTAGCTACACAAGGAAAGTGGACTGAAAAATATTAAAAGTAGTAATTCAATTGCAGAGAAATGAACACATATTTTTCCTTCATTTCAACAATGATGACGTACAGATTCAGTTGAAGAATTTATTGGAGTTCGCTAAAAACTTCACACAATTTTTACCAGTTAAAATAGATGGTTCTTTCACAGAGAACAATTATGCACATTATGAGATAATCCAAATATTAGACGCGTTATTACTCACCAAAATAAAACAAGAACAAAAACTGCATTCCTGTAAAAATTATATAGTATCATGTAGCCCATCCGCTGGTAATTCCAATGTCCATGGACCAATAAAAGTGGAACTAAGAACCTAAATTGCCCCATTGCAAAATCTGATGCCATTACAGCTTGCCGACCCTCTTTCCCACTGATGCCAACTCCCACATCAGCCATTTGGATCATTGAAACATCATTAGCACCTATTCACATTTAGAATTTTCTAATATCAGCACATAATACCAACAAGAAAGTCAAGAAAGCAGTTATTATGCTCCACAAAATTTGCCAGCATAAGAATATAGATTTAAAGCAAAGCAAGAGAAATAACCATCGCCAATAGAAAGTGTCATGTCAGCAGTCCTATTCTTCACAAGGGCAACAATTCCAGCTTTCTGCAATGGAGCCACCCGGCAACACAGTACCACTGAACAATTACTGGCTAATTGGAAGAGCTACAATGAAAGGATAAGTACGTTGCATTAGCCTACAAAAAACATTGCTAAGAAACAGAGAGAAAAAGATGAGTCAATAAAGCCCTTACCTCTTCTTCAAGTTCACTGTCAAGTATATAAACGAGGCTGGTTCCATCAATAATCAAGGCAACTGGACTTACAGCACCTCCAGTGTTGTGTGTTGTGCCAGATACAGTGATGAGCTTCTTAGACATGAGCAAGGCATCTTGTAAACTCTTTCTACAGGACTCCTTTGAGTTGCTATTGATTATAATCTGGGTCATTTTACCTGTCAGGAGCTTTGAAGAGTATCCAATTGATATGGCAGTTTCTTGCTTGTCCCCAGTTAAAACCCATACTTTAATCCCTGCTGTCCTAAGAGATTCTATGGCTTCTGGGACACCTTGTTGCAGTTTATCTTCAATGGCAGAAGCACCCAGGATGGTCAGACTCTTCTCCACAGTGCTAGCTACTTTGCGTAGCATAGCAGCTCGACCAATTAAAGCTGTGCTAGCTGCCTCAAAGGAAGAATGCCACTGCTCAAATTCTAAATCACTCAATTCACGCATCCCAATCACAAGTGTTCTCAAACCAAGAGAAGAGAAACTGTGAAGATGGGCTTCAGTTGCACGAATAACATTCCTGTTCAAAGATCTATCTATCACATTAAACATGGTGGTGTCAGCACCTTTTACAAAGACTTTTACAGTATTGTCAGGGCAGCCCAATATAACAGACATCCTCTTCCGGTCACTATCAAATTCATGCAAACCTAATACATTGAACCTGCACTTCCCATATGGGGAAATCCAACAAAACAAAGCAAGGAAATTCAAAATTAGGAAATATTTAAAGGAGGAAATAATCAATCATAATAAGTACTACAAGTACAGCCACCATTATTCAACTTTAATCTTGATATAATAATATGATCTTCTGATTAAGATAAAACAGAAAACATGATTACCCATATTCCACATGCAACTTCTAATCAGAAAACCAAAACTAGTATCATGAAATGTAACATACATCTCTTGACTACCAATGTTCACCAAAAGCTGGAAGTAGCAGAAGACTTATGAATAGAATTTTTAATGAATAATTTTTACTTTTAAATGTTGCCTGAATTATCTCATAATGCTAATCCCAGGATACCAACTATAACCATGAGATATACCATTCGAGCATCAATTAGGTGGCAGCAGTAGTGGTGGTGTTCATAGCAGTGTTCTCTGTTTGTAATGGTGTAAATACAAGGAAAACACAAATTGAAAACATAAAGGACAGAAATATCAATTTTAGAGAGAGAGAGATAGAGAGAGAAGATAGAAATATCAATTTCAGAGAGTGAGATAGAGAGAGTGAGAAAGAGACTGCACCTTTGCCTTTCTCCTTGAACATCAATAACTATATGACCTGAAGTTCGTTCTACAAGCATAAATCCATACGCGGCAGCAGCATAAGCCAATGCTTGTTCATCTGGAGATTCACCTTGGTAATCCATCAACTTTACATTAGTATCAGATCCATCATCAAAAACAATAGGCACAATTGTATTACATGCTGCCAATGCAAGGAAGAAATCGAGAACGTATTTGGCTTCCTCTGTATCTTTTCCACTTCTTGCTAAATGCAGAAGCTGAGGATCAACTGTTACCTTCATCTTCGGCCTCAAAATCTTCCCATCCACTGATACCAAAAAAACAATCAGAAAATGATGAAAGTAACTATTGCAAAACCAACTGAATAGTTTGACCTACAAAAGACTTCGTTAATTACAAACTGTCAATACCTTGAACTGAGTGTCCAACTTGCTCATTTTGTGAACTGCCTTTTCCACCAATGTAATCTACTCCCCATATGCTTGCATATTTAAATTCCATCTTGTTCTCAGTAAGGGTGCCAGTTTTGTCTGAGAATACATATTTGATTTGCCCTAAATCTTCATTTATATTTAAAGCCCGGCATTGAAATCTTGAATTTGAGGTCTCATCATACATTAGCGTATCTCGAATCATGAAGTAAGCCTGGCCAACCCGAACAAGTTCCATGGAGATATACAAAGAAATAGGGATCATGATCTGGAACACGATAACTGACATGAGGAATGTGAAAAATATCTCCAATCCCCACCCGTAATATTCATAATCATCTTCCTCATCATTGAAATCCTTTTTCCTATAGAAAGGCATGATATTCAACTCGTCCTTGTGACGCTTCAACCAAACAGCAGCACAAACAGAGACAACAGTACACAAAGCAAAAAGAAAAATTGAAAGGATAATAATTTCTTTATTCATGCGTGTCTCAAGTCGGCTCCTCTTTGAAGGAGCTCCTGAGCTATTAAGCATAACTTTGGTCTCACGGCCACAGTATACTGCAACACCAATTGCCCAAGCAGTATTCTTGAGCTCACAGCCACGAAGAATAATATTTGAGGGCCCAAGTGATAGTCTTTTGCCATCCATTTCCATGTTCGCATGAAACCCATAAATATTCCTGTTGGGTTTCTCACATTTAATCAACCCACTGATCTTTTCCTTCTCAGGAATCTTTGAAAGGGTCTCTTGCTTTGCATATCGGGTTTTCAAGTTTGATTCTCCATCCAAGTTAATTGTCTGTACATATGCAACACCAGTTGGATCACTAGTTGAAAGCAGCAGCATATCACAAGGAAGAGTTTCATTTGTGTTAATCTTGATTATCTCACCAACCTTGATATGTTTCCATTTCTTTTCTTCAAACTGGTCATTCACCAAAACCCATGCCAATCGATTATTCTCAATTCTATCAGACCTATGCCTCCTCCAATCCTCATATGCATCCTTAACTGCCGTCACTAATAGAACAAAGGCAAGAGGCAAAATGGAAACTCCACGGCCAAAAACAGCGAGCTGGGGAAGCTGATTGAGGATAGCAATAACAAGGAAATAAATATAAGCAACTCTATGAAATTGCTCAAACAAATTCCTAGGCAAAAAGGAAAGGAGTGAATATTTCCCAGTCCGAATAGAATTTCCAGCAAATTCAAACCTCTCATTCGTCTTTTCAGGATCATTTAAGTATACCAACCTAGCGTCTTCATCGCTGATCTCTTTCAAGGACGCACTCAACCCTTCTGAATCAGCTCTTCTGGAACCATACTTCACTGGTTTAGATCCTAAATCACTAAATGTAACCTCCCTAACTGAACTTCCACCAGAATTCTTTGAATAATTGGAAGAATTGCTTCTCCTGGAAGCAGAATGTGAATATATTTCAATACTTGGGGACCTCTCAATTGGGTTTTTGGAATCCATCTTGGAAACCAAACCGGGATTACCAAAACTAAATTAATGATAGATCAAAGGAAACAGGTAAATTGTAGGCAAGTTCTAGCTGGATATTACGAGTTCTTAGTCAAGGGATCAACAGAGGCCATGATCTAGAGATCAAATAGCTCTTTAACAACATAACTAATACACAGCCAATCCGCGAAATACCCAGACAAATATTCCAATAAAAGTTAGAAAAAAAATAATAAAAGAATAAACTTTCAAGAAGAGTAGAAGCAAGTAAGACCGGATTTAAAAAACGAAGTAAACCCAGGAACTAAAACGAGAGAGAAACAGAAAATGAACCTCTGGTGCGAGCTCCTATATTAGGAAGAAACTGTCAGGCTGTCAGCATCTAGTTGCATGTAAACCAAAGCAATCAAGAGAAGAAGAGACTGTAAATATATACAGATAAACAAACAAAGGAATTGTCTACAGAGACAGAGAGAGCTGCAAATAGTCTTTACAGGGAACGGTTGATGAAGCTACGTGTTTAAGGGGAAGAAGAGGAGAATTTTACGAAGTCAAAGGCAATGTAAGAGAGAAGAAGACGGAGTTTACAAGAAATCAGGAAGAGTCCTAATGGCTGGCGACAAACACAAGCTTAAATTATCAAATGTAGAAAAAGCATATCATAAACAGCAGCCATAATTCGTAACCAAAAGGAAAAGACAAGACTTTTAAAAACCAAAACAGAAGATAGAAAGAAAGAAAAGTCTTTGTTCTAAACCCAATAGAGAGAGTTTGATGTTTCAGAGTAACAAAATACAAGTAGGCTGAATAGAGTTAGGTTTAACTGATCGAACCGATTCAGATTGATTTTCATTTTATTTGGTTCCATTCTAATTTTTTTTATATTACAATGACAGGTGTAATCCAATTTAATTATAAAAACCACTTCGATTTTATTTTAATTTAAAAAATTTTGATTGATATTGATTCAGATCGGTTCATTTAAAAAAAAAGCGAACCGGTAGGAAAAAGAGGGATGGTTCTAGAAGGACTACTGGCTCCTAGAAGGAGGTGGTGGCTTATTGGTCAATTAATTAATAAGAATATAATAGTATATATGTCATAAACGTGTACAAGTATCAAATGGGTTGAATTAATAAGGTGTCTTAATTTGACTTATCTTTTCCGCTCTTTGAACAAATGCATGGAATCTTCTTTTTTTTTTTTATTCATTTAAAATGTTAAGCATCAATAATGGGTTTCTAATTCTAACAAATTGCATGCCCTTCCCCTCCATTAATTATATTTATATTATGTTGTAAAATAAAAGGATAAGAAATGAGAAAGGACAATATGAGACATGGTAATTACTTGTGTGTAGCAATCAACTAATAGAGATAATCTTTTTTTTTTTTTTTTGAAAAAAGTGGAATGAAAAAAAAACTTTGAATAACACTAATACTAATAGCAGTATGAAGATAGTACGTTGAAAGATAGAGCTGAAAAGTTGTAGAGTAATTTTTCTTCAAATCTTCTAGAAGCAATTGAAATCACATAAGTGATGTACCCGTGGAGTACATCCTGGGCTAGTGTATAAGACTGGCTTCAGTTTTTTCCCTATGAGTTAGCTTTTGGAGCTAAATTAGGAGTTCAGATCCTTATCATTTGGTATCAGAGCTCTGGCTTTGTAAGGTCGATGTCTCATGGGATTCGTCAGAACGCCGACTGAGACAGTTAGAGGTTCAGATCCTTATCAAAAAACATAAAGTTAAATGAAGGGAAAACGATTAAAATAAAGTTATTATTGAATCTAGGGAAAAAAAAATACTATAAATTTTTATTAATCACCTCCCTCCATACTTATATACTAACTCAAGCCTCTTTAAATTTTTATTCCATCAACAATCAACTCCCTCCGTTTAAATTTACCATAAATTCTATTAATCTAACTCGTGAATTAAGGTCTAAGGAGAGAGAAAAAAAATAAAAGACATTATCTACCCTATAACTCTAATATCTAACCAGATTCACACTGCCACTTCCACTGCCACCGGCGCCTCCTCCACCGTAGCAATCACTGCCTACAATATCAACTCCTCCATTCCAATCTCTGCCTGAACTAAACTAGCAAAGAAAGCTAATTCTCTTTATCTTTCTTTGCCTCCTCAACTTTTTCTTTGCTCAACAACCCACACTTTCTAGAAATAATGGAAAAAGTAATAAGATTTTTTATGCTTATTCATTGTTATGGCAATCATTGCCACCATCTCTTCTTCTTGAACGGAAAGTGTTTCTTCACTATCGTGGCAATCACTGCCCCCACCGGTGAACCCGTCTTGATGAAGGATCTATGGGACCAAAACGAGGTTTGATTTTCTGAAAATCTAATTCTTGAAAATTTGCAGGGAATGGCTATTGTTGCGCTTTTGATTTCGGTGTATGGAAGTTTGAAGTCTGAGGGAGACGGTGCTTGGTCAAATTTCGGTTAGCTAATTCCAGTGGGCATTAACAACATCTATGCCATGAGAAAGAGAAAGGGGAAATAGGATTTGAGTTTCAAAGGAGACAGGTAGAGGAGAAGCAATTAATTGTCAATTTTGTAAATTATCAAGGTTAATACGGTCATTTGATTTGTCATTTAACGGAAGTCTGAGAGAGTGATTTTCACATCTTTCTTTTATTATTGATGTTTTATTAAGTTGCATAAGTAATACAACTTATTATTTGGAAAAAAAAAAAATTAATACATTAAGTAGCTGTTTTCAATTAACAAGGTAAAATTCTAATAGATTATAAATCTAGAACTTACTTAGAGAGAGAATCTTCACTTTCTTGCATACAAGTTTTTCACTGGAACTTACAAACTACATAAGAATTTTATGTTTACTTTAAGCATTTTCCCGGAAAGTTTTTCAATAGAATTTACAAACTATTTTTCTCCAAACACAATTCATGTATTTTTTCAAAACACAATGCAAACTCTTAATGGGTGTTTGACAACTCTTATAAATCTTCTCTCACAATTAATACAACTAAAACCTAACAAGATCAAGAGTATTTAGCTAGAAAAAAGAATAAAAGTTATATATAAAGATGATAAAAGCTCATATTTCAAAATCCCAATTCTAAAGTCTAGCACTTAAAATAAAAAAAAAAAATTGATATTTATGTATATTTATATTAAAAAATATGACCGTGTGAAAAAAATAAAGAGAGGGAAGTAAATCAAAATAAATTTAAATATAAAAAATAATATTCTTATTTGAAAAATAATTTTTTTCTAGGAAATAATATTTACTTAATCTACAAGACATTTTTCGTGAAATAAGTCATTTATTTTGTCCAAGATATTAAATTTGAATCAACTTTGAATTTTATTATAGTGTTTCAATTTTTATAATTTAAATTCTATGGAAATAATATAATTTAAATTCTATGGAAATAAATTTAGAATCAAAAAGTATTAAAATTTTAAATTATTAATTTCTAATTGTAATTGATTTTTAAATTCATTTTGAAGGTTCATAATTCTTGTAAATTTGGAGATTTATTAAAAAAAATTGAGAATTTATGTATTTATATAGTAGAATTTAAATAAAATATGATGTGTGCTTGGAATGCTTACTTTTTAGGTAGTTTGGTAGTTAGTTTTCCTTTATTTTACATGCATTTAGATAGAGCATTTATATGATAATTCATGTTTTAAGTGGATTGATCTTCCTCTTTCTAACATTTATTTGTTTTGAGCTTAAAATAGAGCGAAAAAAAGCTCAAGTTAGAGCAATTTTGGATAGATCCTAAATATACCATACTCTACAATGGCCTATAGGAAGCTCTACATCCGCAACAAAATATTGTAAGATGATATCAAGATGCCATAGGCTTCTACAGTTTCAGCTATAACTCAAGCACAACTTGTAGGTGGCGAGAGGCAATACTTTGCATTGAAATAAGCTTGCTGAGCTGACTGGAAGTGCAGAGAAAATCGTAGCAAACTAGCCAAATACTAATGCAAGTTGATCCAAGCCACAACACATAACATTACTGACACCAGCAAGTACACATCAACCATTTATCACTTGGACAAATCTTTCACAGTAAATGATGCCCTAGTTTATATCTTAAATATAAAAGAAAAAGAATGTAAGAAGATAGGAATTTTTTGTTCTTTTAATCATCTCTTGTAGAATAATTTTTATATTAGTTTTAGAGTAGCAGCAGCAACAAACACTAACTAGATTTCTCAAGGAGATTTTTCGGCCACCTTGCTTATTAAAGAGTTATCTTACTTTGAGATCCATAATTTCCTTGTCTCCTTTGATTATAATGGGTTATACCTTTATTTTCACTTTTCCTGTTATTTTAAATATATGTTATTAGTAGATATATCTCACCAGTGCTGGGAGTACACTTGTTGGGAAAATGTATTGAATATTAATGTGATTTCCTTTTAAATAAATTTTGATTCTAGATCTAAAACTTGCATGTCTTAATTTTTGTGGATAATATGTTCACTTATTGCATGATCTAAGGTGTTAAGTCATGTTCCTAACTAGTGAAGTTTAACGCTTCAATCCCTTATGTTTGGACCTAGGATTTGTATTTAGGCTAAATCTTTTAAGGGCAGATATGGGGTCAAGGAGATAAATGAGTTTCAATCAATGTTGTATCACCAAAGTTGGTGTAGTTTTGGTTATAATACAACCTTTTATCAAAAAAGTGGATTTGGGATACCATAGGACTTTTCGATCCTTTAAGAACTGATTTTTTGAGCCAAGGGATACCATTTTTTTAGTACATGAACCCAGGAAACCAACACTAGGCTATGTATTTATTTATTTATTGTGTTTTTAGTTATTTGATACTAACAATTTATCCTATTTGATGTTATTTAGTTTAATTTTTTTATTTCCAATATCTACAACCATACTCATATGTTTGTCCAAATTTCCTTTATTGTTTAAGCTTAGTAGTTAACTCCTCAATTCATATGGAATGATATTGTCACTTTATTACTCCTACTCTCAAGGTTAAGAGGGCATCAAATTATCATGTCTTGAATCCAATCATTGGAGTAATTGTCTGCTTGTGCTATTTTGGACTGGTAGTTGTAAAAGATAAGAAGAGTTTAAAAATATTGATTAATTATATATGTAGTGATATGTAGGCAGAGTGCCTATTTATACAAGTAGATGCCGAGTATATAGAGAGGAAATATAAAGTATATATATGTGTTGTACATGAGCTATATTTTAAAACCAACAAAGATTAATACAAATAACTAATTGATAAATTGACATTTGTACATTAACAGCCGCTCTCAAGCTGTGCTGACATGAACCAAAGGTGCAACTTCTGAGAATCAACCTCAAACAACGCATGGCCAAGTGATTTTGTCGTGATATCTGCGAGTTGATCTGAACTCTTTAGAAATCAAACCTGGACTAGTCCTAGTTTGATTTGGTCCCGAATAAATTGAGAGCCGACTTTTAAGAATAATAACCAAGATCCTTCAGCAATTGAGGAAGCCACATTACCTCAGCGGTGGTGTTGGTAAGAGCCTTATACTCACTTTCAATACTCGAGCAAGCCACAGTAGGCTATTTTTTTATGATGATGAGACCAAGTTGTGCCCTAAATAAATCAAGTAGCCCCCAGTAGAGTAGCGGTCGTCTGGACAACTAGCTCAGTCACTGTCAGAGTAGCAATGGAGCTCAAAAGAAGAAGAACAATGCAGCAAGAGTCCAGCTGAAGAGGTAGCTCGTAATTAACGAAGTAAG